GTGATACCTAATCATATATAAGATGCATAGTGATACCACCGTGTTACATATTCGATCGACCACACAAACGACATCAATGTGATACCCAAGCACATATATGATGCATTGTGATACCATTGTAGTATCACCGGAGGACGATGACCGGCGGACGGTGGCTGGAGAGAGAAGAGAGGAGGGAGGAAAGTTTTAAAATAGCAAAAATATCCTTGCATTAATATTTTAATTCAAAATTGCCAAAATTATAAATTTCCTAATTTATCTATTGATTTGTGGTTAATATTGTTTCTCACAGTTACCACAAACTAATTAGTTCTCATTTGATTAGGCCCCTATATATATATGTGTGTGTGTGTGTGTATATATATATATATATTAAAAGTTCACTAATTAGATTTTATTAACTTTTTCGAATTATTTGAATACTATTTGTTGATGATTCTATTAACAACTAACATATATTTTTATAGACAATCTTCAGATCATGGAAACTAGAAAACATCTTCAATTACTTATATGAACATGTACATACCATACAGATGAATGATTATTAAATTGTTCTTCGGTTTTTAATTTTTTTGAGGTTTTTCCCTGAACCACACTCTATCAACAAATACCGTAAGAATGGAAGGTTACAAGAAAGTTCATGTGTCAATTATCTAAGATGCGCAAGTGAATCAATACGAATAATCTGTAATATCGGTTCATTCTCATGATAGTTAGCATTTTTATTTTAATTGACCCATATCAACATTTTTTTTTTTTTTTTATTAAGTGGATATCCAACCCGCTATGCGAGTTGATTAATCTCAGGGCAACCACCTGCTTTGCAGATAGCCCGGAGTCACCACATTTGAACCTCCATGCCACAAAGAGATTTTTATTCCTTCTTGGATTTGAACCTGGGACCTGCCGTTACTTTTCACCTTTACAGTTTGACACACATACAGTTTGGTTTATGATTTGAAAGAAAAAAAATCAACCTGTACATACGATTTGGTTTACAGTTTAAACTTTGAACCGCAATGCTAAACAAAAACACCCCTAATTACAACCATTGGTTTATTTTGCAAAAAATCTAAAACCCATATAACAATTATTCCAAATATAAAAGCTTACCAGTTTAATTACCTTACCAAATGAATATAACAAGAACCAAAAATCTTACCGGTAGAGGGAATACAAGGATTGAGAGTCTTAGGGCCGTTTACATTTACCTTAAAAGATAACATTCTTGTTCATCAAAATGGATTGATGGCGGGTGTTTGTAACCTGGTAAGCGCTTACCGGGTAATAGTCATTACCCTCACTTATTGAATAAGATTCTCGATCCATGACTTCACTCTTACCTTGTAAGATTCTCGGTATTTGTTATATTCCCCCGGTAAGATAATTGCGGTGGTAAGTGCTTACCAATGTAAATGTTTAGTAAACATCCCCTTACCACGTAAGTCAGGGTGATGACTATTACCCGATAGTCACTTACCGGGTTTAAGACGCTCACCAACAATCCATTTTGATGACCAAAAATGTTACATGATAAGGGAAGTGAGAGTGATATCTCTTGCCGGTAAACGCTTATTAGGCAAGGGTTTGGTAAATGGCACCAAACTCTTTTGAGTTAAAACAACCAAAATGTATCATGTTACCACAAGGCTTTATTGTTACAATCCAAACATCACTTATGTAGGGCTATAAACGAACTGAACGAACACGAACGCAGACTTGTTCATGTTTGTTCGTTTAACTTAACCGAACAAACGAACTAACACGAACGATAAACGAACGAAAATCTTTGTGTTCGTGTTCGTTCGTTTAGAAATCAGGTGTGTTCGTTTATGTTCGTTTGTTAACATGCTAAACAAACGTAAACGAATGAACCGGCTAAACGAACATAAATAAATATTATTTAAATTCAAAGTAAATAAAAAAAATATTATATATTAAATTTAATATATAAACGAACGTTCACGAACATAAATGAACGAACGGGACTCTTGTTCATGTTCGTTCGTTTAACTAAATGAACAAAAAAAACTTGTTCACGTCCGTTCATTTATTAAATAAACGAACTTTCCGCCAAACGGTTCACTGAACGTTCGGTTCGTTTACGACCCTACTGTTGCCATATGATATCTGTTTAGTTCAAGAAAACTTGATTTGACAACAAGACCACCATTTCTGAGCGATGTAAATTTTTCTAAGCATAACATCTGAACTTGTATTTGTATGATTTAAGGTAACCTGTAAATTCTAAATCTCGAGCATACTTCGATATAAATCGAGCTCTCGATAGACTTTTTTTTTATTGCGATCCACATAAAAACGAGAAAATTTGGTATCTATACATTTTACCTGTGCAAAAACGTTAAAACCCGTGACCAAATTTCACCAAAACCACGCTCAGCCATCCTTACTCGTCATCCTAGTTTATGTAGTAATCGCACTTCGGACTCAGACATGGGTTCCGTTACCTGATTGAGCTGACTCGTTCTGATTGAGTTGACTCATTCCAGACAAAGTTGTTACGAGCAAGCTCCGGAATTCCATTTTCATCAGGAAAGCTGTGCGTGATAAGGTCGGGGTTATTTGACTTCATCTTAGTCAACATTGTTATCGATACTGATTCTTGTTCTTTAACACCATCAAAGGTTAGTTCTCTCTCATCATTTCTCCCATTGTTTTCCTTGATCCCAGAATCGACTTCAATGAGTTCACCAGCATCCGTTACGTCATGCAGAATCATGTTTGAGTCAACTCGGTGAGTTGAACCCAATGGTTTGACACGCCCTTTACGTCCAAAAATGCTAGAAATTCGTTCTTGGTTAAGATGGATCGGAAAGGTCTCATCAATGACACTCTTCTTTGAATACGATTGCCTGATCTCGTACAGTAACCAAAGAGCGAAAACCACAAAGCAAGCAAAGTGAAATGTGTGCTTAGTTGTTGATGATTTCGGACGAGTGGTGAACCGGTAATTCATCATAATCAACAACTTCTTAGATGGATTTCCTAACAAAAGATCAGGCAAATGATCAACTCTAGATTCATGGAAAACATGCAAATTAAACACACCATCATGAACTTTAAGGCATTATGATGTAGCAAAACTGATTTTAAAAGAAAGGGAAATTGGCCACATTACTAGGAAGGTCTTTTTTTTGTTAACTGTGGGTGTCCGGGCGAGCTTGCGCGGGACTAATCCTAGGGCCTGGAGAACAGCCACGAAGATGCCCAATGGCCTTGAAGGTTTCGTTTCGAACCAGTGACCTTTAAGGAGAATCCTCAAAGGCCCAAGCCTTATTGCCTGTTGAGCTAATCCCACGAGGTTTACTAGGCAGCTTCATTTACACCAATTTTATCCATTTTCCATTTCATGGTTCTCATTGTTAATTTGCTTTCGTATCAAGGAAACAAGACACATAATCACAGGTTCATTCACCCCCGCGGTTGTGTATACGAGTTTCACACAATATAAGAATGTTACATGTATAACAAACGAAACGAACCCGGTATATCGCATCTAAGGTGGTGTATGGGGAAGGTACAATGTACTCAGACCTGAGCTCTACTTCAAATAATAGAGTGGTAGTTTCTGTGAATGACCTCCAGTTTACTAAGAGTGATAAAGAAAGTCATAAATGATAAAGATTTGAAAAAGTTGATTAAACATAAAGCAATAACATACAAATAGAAGCGTGTACATGAATGATACATGCATGACCTTCATAAAATAAAACCCACTTTTCATTACTGGTAGAGTCTAATATCGGCTACATTTGGACCATTTATTCTCAACAAATATTGGAACCTCCCTTCTCTCTTAAGAGCATCTCGAACATATTCTCCAAAATTTCTAAAAAATGGAGAATCAAAAATCAAAATCTTCAAAAAAAATCATATCTAACTCTATCAGTTTCTCTATTTTCGAGATTACAACATTAATTATATTATTAAAATATCAATACATTTAATAATAGATTATCTCTCTTTCCAAAACATTTAATTTCAAAGATTCCTATAGGTGAAAATAATAAATAAAAAAATCGTTTTCTCCTCTCAGGCAATCATTTTGGAGGAATTCTTCAAATTTGGAAATTTTTGGAGAATTTGTTAGAACAAATTTTGGAACTTTTACCTTATCTCTGCTGTTTATTTGAAGGAAGTTTTGTAGAATTTGTTAAGACTAATTTTGGAAAATTTTACCTTTTCTATGCTACTTTCTCTATTTTGAAGAAAGCTTTGAAGAATTTATCAGAACAAATAAATCTCTGAAATCTCCATTTTTTCCATCTTGAAGAATCTGTTGGATTTTTACCCCAAATTCGAGAGACAACATAAAGGGCACTTTTGGATGATAATCTAATGGGTTCCACATGTGACAATTACTATTTCGGTATCAAGAATGACAATTAAACCTATGAAATAGCATATTGCAAGAAACAAAACATGGCTTTTTAGGTAGTTTGACAACTTGCCTAACATCAACGTTTTTTGCTGTGATTTTTTCATCTTCTCATGGATATCACAAAAGAAGGAACTCCCATCCTGGCCAAATTTGGTACAGAGTCAAAACTAAGCTTTTTGTTTAACAAAATTGAACTACGCATGAAATCAGAAAATGTATAAAAAAACCTAAAATAATTCTTACAATTTTGAGCTCAAGTACAACTGTACAAGCTATTTGACACTTAAGACTCAAAATTCTGCAACAAATCAGTCATAAACTTCTCCATTCTAGTCAAACATCAAGAGAAAAAAGAGGCAAGAACAACACCGATTCAACCACATCTGGATGACAATTGCACAAAAAAAATCAATAAATGAATAACAAACTATCGATAATCCAGGAATCATAGACGAAATTCTCAAGGAGATAACAGCATAATCTTATACTGTTATACATATCAGACATAAAATGAAGATTAAGTCGAAGAAAATAATAAGATATCATCATTAAACTGTTTCACTTACTTACAATTGCTGCAAACTGAAATCAAACTACCACACATCGTTCCTTTTCCGCTATCAACAACCGATTTGCAAGTAATCAATTGAATGCTCCCACACCTCAATTGCTCACAAACAGAAACCCTAACATTTGCATGTATAGCAAACAAAAGCAGTTGGGAGATAGTATATTATACTCTTGAGGAGTGGAAAAAATAATTTACTTACGATACTTAGTTGACATTCATACAGGAACATTTACACGTAAGACCTATTGCTCATGCAATTTCGGTGCCGCCTGATCAACAAACGAATCGAATATAGACGAACGTCGTATATTGATAAAATTCAAAGCAATCATCGATAATCTCCAAGTTCCACTAGAAATTGCGAAAAACGACGATGGAAAACGTGAAAATCAAACAAAAAATTACCTCCGGTATACGAATCGAACAGAATCTGATCGTAGAGTGAGCTCCCAAACCCTAAATCTGAAGCTGATTATGTCTTCTTGTGAACATTTTGGCAAAGATATGTTCGGAAAACTCTGGTTTTTGGTGTTTTCCCCTTTGAACAAATGAGGAAATGTTTGAATTTTCAAAACTCAAAATATAAATGGAAAATAAACGGTCATGAAGTGTTTTCTCATGTGTTTTCTGTTGAACGGAATATTCCTTTTTTACTCTTAAAAACTAGAATAAATTACAGTTTTGGTCCCTTGAGATTTCAAAATTTTAAAACTAGTCTATAAAATGTAAAAAATTTACATGAATGATTATTACAGTTTGTATTTTGATTTGAAAGTGATCTCTGATGCTAATTCCGTCAGTAAAAACGACTTTAGTTGAGGTAAAGAAAACAAAACCCTTTAATAGTAGGGATAGATTTGTCACATTTTAATAAACTAAGGGTCGTTTATCAAAAGGTTACCCGATAAGCGCTCGACACGTCACTTACTTTACCGGGTGAACATGACAATGACCGATAAGTCTTACCTGGTAAGATCGATGGCAAAGACCAAGAGTCTTATTTGGTTTACTGCGTAATTTTTGCATACGATGTTGTTTTAATGGACTGGAATCTTACCTGGTAAGGTAAGTGATAGTGTTGAATCTTATTGGTAAGTGCTTATCGGGTAAGCATTTGGGTAAACGGCTCCTAAGTACAATTACAATGATATATACTTATAACCAAAATGGACTTTTGATTGTAAGATTAATTATTTCTAAAAAGTCTGTTTTAACCCTAAAAAACTAAAATTTGTTTTTTTTTTTCAAAAATTAATGAATTAAAATCTATTTTTCATTTCAAATCTCGTTTTTCATTTCAAATCTCGTTTTTTTTTTTTTTAAATTCAGATATCAAATTGAAGTTCTTTTATAAAAAAAAAATCCAAATTATCACAATAAAAATTGTTTTTTTTACTAATGCAATAAAAAAAATCAATTTAATAGAAAAAATTAATTGTTGCAATAAAAAATAAATATTAAATATCGCATTCAAGATTTTTATAACCAACCAATCCGTATCAATATTAAAGTTTAAATCAAATTTGACAAATCAAACCAAAAGTTTGATAGAGACCCTTAAATTACCTGTTACATGTTCAACAGATTTACCATACCCTTAAATAAACAAAAAGTTTGATAAAGACCTCTAAATGACAATTTTGAAAGTTGGTTCCCCAACATAGGAATCATGTGAAAGTTGGTTCCATTTTAATACAATTTTCCCTATAAAATATCAGGAATGACTATTTTGCATGAATTATTATGGACTACGAGACTAAAGGGATATGATGTAGGTTTTGCAATGGATCATTAAGGCCCAGCCCAACTACAGCTTTCCAAGGTCCAACCCATCAGGTATTTGGGCCTACTTTTCTTTCATTATTGATTGATCATTTTTTTTGTAAGGATGTCCGGGCCAAAGCCCGACTAATCCCCGGCAAATTTGGAGGCTAAACATGGCCCCACTTAAATGTCGCCAACACTCCCCTCCCAGGGCTTGAACTCGGGTTCATGACTATGCCATGCCCAAGCCTTTACCACTAGGCTGGATTGATCATTGATATATGCTTAGATTTGATTTTAGGTTTTGCTATATTTGGGTCTTGGTTTTCGAATTCTTAGAAGTCGTTTCGGTCCGTTCAAAACTATAAGGTCGGGTTCGGTTTATAGGATTGTATAGGATTTGGAGGGATTCAGAATTCAATTCCATTCCAATTCCATATTTGTTTGAAGGATCGCATGAATTTAAATTCCCACAGATATGAGATCTAGAAATCTCATAGGGTTAGAGCTGTAAACGAACCGAACGTTCAGTGGGAAATTCGTTTATTTAATAAATGAACAAAAATGAACAATTTTTTTTGTTCGTTTAGTTAAACGAACAAACATGAACAATAGTCTCGTTCGTTCATTTACCGTTCGTTTATACTCGTTCGTTTATATATTAAATTTAATATATAATATTTTATTTATTTACTTTGAATGACCCCCCCGGAAGGAGGCCTTCTTCGCCTTCTCAAATAATATTTATTTATGTTCGTTTAACCCGTTCGTTTATGTTCGTTTAGCACGTTCGTTTAGCATGTTAACGAACAAACATAAACGAACACGAACACACCTGATTTCTAAACGAACGAACACGAACACACATATTTTCATTCGTTTACCGTTCATGTTCGTTCGTTTACCGTTCATGTTCGTTCGTTTGTTCGGTTAAGTTAAACGAACGAACATGAACAAGCCTCCGTTCGTGTTCGTTCGGTTAGTTTACAACCCTAGGGGTAGTATTATTTTGCGGGGTTTCGTAAAATTTGTCTGTAATAATGTCTTAGAATATATTACAAACATTTGTTCTGTAACAATATATTAATAAAACGACAATCCGATTATTTTCTATAATTTGTTTTTATAAATTATATATAAAGAAAGGAATTCAATTCCATTCCAAATTTTACAAACCAAACATCAAGATCCCAAATTATTTTCATGAAATCTGACATCTGAGAAAACATTTCGTCAAATCAAATGGGCCTTAATGGTCCATTTGGGTTGATGAAATGTTTATGAGTGATTATTCTGTGGAAGAATTTTTGGAATTAAAAGGATTTGAAAATTTTGATCTGTTTTGGTTCACAGGATCTGTATTGGGATTAATCTCATCTTTTATTAATGATTATTATTAAATGAATGTTTTTAATATATTTTAAGACATTATTACAAACAAATCTTTGAAATCTAGTAAAATACCATCTACTCTCACGTGAATTATAAATCTAATGTTTGTGACATTTCATTGAGATCTCGAGATTTTAATTCTGGACTTTTCTTTAAACAAAATACGGGATTAAAATGAAATCTAATTTCAAATCCCGTAAACCAAACGGGGCGTAACTATTTTCTTTTGTATTTTTCACACTTAAAACAATGTCGTTTTCTTTTTATATTTTCAAACTATTAAATCTCAAGTTTGTTTTAAATTTACTAGAACGGTACTCGCGTGATGCAGCAAGATACATCTTCGTTTTTAATGTTCTGTTTTATTTCTTTGTCTTTGTTGACATAATACGGTTTATGTGGTTTTGAGAAAAATAATGTTTTTACTTTTGAATAAAAATAAATTTGAAAAAAAAAATATATCGATATTAATATCCAATAAACTATTTAAAAGTTCTCGTTTTTTTTTTGTACAATTTTTTAATTCAATTTTCTATTATAATTTAATTTAGGTGAAATAGTGAAGTAATTTATTTTTGACTTAAATTTTTTTTATAAAAATAATGATTATTTTAGAACTCAATAATTATCGTTATTATATTTTAGATTTTTTTAAAATAAGATGTTTATCCTATATTTGATTAGGTTTATCTGCAATGAGTTATATGAATTCAAAAATGAAGCTTTAATAAATTGTACTTACGTACAATTTACTTGTAATCTTAAAATTTAAGTAATATGCATTAATACACAATACTTCATGCATAAAAATTGATTTTTATGAGTTTTTGTCAAATATTTTATAATATAGTATAGATAGTTTAGTTTTAGACGTATTTCAAACTGGTTTGGTTACTGGTCCTGTTAATTATAAGCGGATCAATATCACTAATTAATATAGTCGCTTTCATATACTTAGATAGGTTGCAATAAAAGACCTTCGACTTCTAGGTATTTGTCTATTTTTTTCTTGAACTAAAAATGCATTTAGTTACTAAAGGGTCTTTGGCCTAGCGGTATCGTAGTCTTTGTCTCCTAGCAGGTTAGAGATTCAAACATCACCAAAGGTGAGAAGGATGTGTGAGTTTATTTGTTGCATTTGCAGTATATAAATATTATATACTTAAAAAAATGCATTTAGTTTTTTTATCAAAGAAAATGTTGATGCTTTTAAATCAACTAGAAGGGTACTCGCGCAATGCAACGAGATATATCTCAATTTCTATGTTTCATTTTATTTTCTTGGTCTCTGTTGATGTTATTATACAAATTTATGTGGTTTTGAGCGAACAATAATGTTTCTCTTGATAAAATATAAATTTGAAGATATCATAAAAAAATATTAAAGTTTTCATTTTTTTGTATAATTTCTTTAATTCAATTTTTTATTATAATTTAATTTAGGTTTAATGATAAAATAATTTAATTTTGGTTTAATAATATAATTCTTATGAAGATAATAATTAAATATTCTGTTAGAACTCAATAACTATTCTAATTATATTTCAGATTTTATATTTAAAATAAGAATTTTATTCTGTGTTTGATTATATTTATCTATATTTAGTTACACGAATTCAAACATGGAGATTAATAAGTTGTACTTACGTACAATTTACTTGTAATCTTGAATTTTAAATAACATCCATCAATAAGTAGTACTTCATGTATAAAAGATGGTTTTTAAGAGTTTCTGTCAAATGCTTTATAATATAGTATAGATTCATGCTTTTAAAACAATTATATTGAAGTGTTGCACTTATATTTTTTTTAAACCAGTAAAAATCACAATATATTTGTAATTGTATATTGCTTTATATCTATACGTTTATCGTGTGTATTAATAATTCCGTAAACTTTCCTGAAGTAGATGTGGAAAAGCGGGCGCTAATGCAAGGAAAGGAGGTGTTCTGCGTCTACGATTTTCACTGTTTTGCTTATCTACATCTGCAAAGTAAGAAACAGAAAACAGACAAAATTCTAGAACCCCTCCTCAAGGCAAATACCTGTTCACCTCATTTCGTTATCAGTATTCATGGATCTCGTTTTACGTCAATTTTTTAAATTTAAATCTCAAAATCAAATGTTTGTTGTTTAAAACCCGTTACTTGTATGTCTGGCTGATGTTGTCTTTTTTGTCATTTTCATTTGTTCCCTTGTCGAAATCAATAGCATCAATTGAAACTTGAATTCAAGTCACAATCTCATGATTCAAGCTTGATGTAGCGATTTTTTCACATAATCTCGTGGTTTAGAACCGATAACAATTTAAAGAAAAATATATAAAAAAA